CTATTGTATGGGCATGATGGGACCAAGGGTGAACTTGAAGTCGGTCTCTGTGTTTTATTCCTCCATGGTCTCTGCACTGCTAACGTAACGTTATTTAATTTAATCTTACCTCCACAAATGTTTCCATGGTACTACCATACCAGTACTGTTCGATAGTAGCATTGGGCCTTTGCCAAGGTAGATTCTGTGATTTATGCTAAATCTATTATTTCTATTTTGCAGATTCTGTTGATATCAGCGGAAGGCCTCTACTCCGATGCTTTACAAATCAAGTGTCAGACCGGTAGATGTTCTTTCTCGTGCTGTTACTTTCATCATGTTAATACATACATGAAGGCACATATTCTTCAACTATTCACATGTTTGCTGATTCTGCCTCTGAAGACATTTTACAAAGCTTAACAGGGCATGGATGTAATAAGTGGATTTCAGAGAAATCACTCAATTTTACTTTCCATTGACTTGTTCATGTCATGATATTTGTGCCTGACATTTAACAGGTCCATGGTTACATGTCATGCATGTATATTATGCACACCGTGCGCAAATTTACAAGAGTTGGGGAAAATGGGATTGTAATGTACATTGTGTATATGGACTTTTTGGCATTGCTGTTTGTCTTTTGGAGCTCTTTTTACTTTTTCATTGTCACTTTTTTTATTCTTGTAGTTTAATTAAATGTATACTTACCTTTATAATAAATTGCTATTTTTGTATTTAAATTATTTACCACCACAGGGTTGATCAGGTCCATGTATTTCTGTTTGATTGCTCGCCCACTGTGTTCTTGTCTGGCTTTGACCCTGCAGTGAGGTCAAAGGTTGTATGTCATGATGGCTGGTCAGACCCCTTGGAATGGAATGGTATCAGGTACAATGAGTTAGCACTCAAACAATCATTTTGCCAAATGTGATAAATGTCATGATTGCTTAAACAGACAATCCAACCATATGATGGTAATTTAGCTCTCGATGGTTTGCATGGTGGCATACGATAAGGTAGAGGGTTTGCGGATACACCATGTGGAAAATATCTCTTTTGAATATGTGTGGTTCTGAAAAGAACCGGTTACATGGTGTATCCGCAAACCCTCTACCTTTTCATATGATAGTAATATTTGATATTCAGTGTCAATTTTTCTCCAATTTAATTGTTTAACAAGACTGATTGTTGAGATGGTTATACATGTAAAGTGACCAGAAGTGTGAAGTGGAGGTATTTGTTGTATGACTTATGGTAAATGATGTTTTGCTATGTGATAGTAAGCTTTTAAAGGGAACTAATTCGATAACTTCTGTTGATATTTGCCATTCAGGGTATATAACTTTTTTGGTTTGTTTTCAGTCTTTCAGAAGATCACAACGTTATCCACTTCAGTGCTCTGACTGAATTTAAGTCTCACATTGAGAATCACATGACCAAGGGAATCCAATCAGTAGCAGTCGTTATTGATTCATTATCTCCAGTTATTATCAATAAGTCTGTGACATTTGTCTGCAAGGGTTTACATCAGCTCATCCAGTCAACAGATTGGGAAGGTAGGATGTGTGGAATGGCTCACTGATAAGACCCTGAAAAGTCAAAATATATTGTTATCTTTGTCACAACTGCTCTGGAGGCTTTGTGCTTTTGTCTTTATATACCAATCTGACCCATGGCAATGTAATCATTCATAACATAAGAATGCAGAGTTATTTCTCCTTATCACTTCCTCAGTGTATTAACTGAATCCAGAGGTAGATATGGAACATTTTCTTTTATCAGACGGTTAAATGCGTTTGACAAATGTAATCTGTTCTTTGTAAAGCTGCTCCAATATTATTGTGTGTGACATTGAATTTCGAGGTTGACACTAACTTGAAATAATGGTGTAGACTTTTGAGGTATTTGTAAATTTTTCTGAATCAAATTTTTATAATTGAACATACACTGCAGTCTCAAAAGTAGGTTTTGTTTTTTGCCTTTTCAGGTCCAGACATTTCAGAGGTGGTATGTCTACTTCATCAAGATGTGCACGATGTTGCCACAACAAGTGCTGTCTGTCACAGTGCAACCACAGTATTGTACCTGGAACCTTATAAATCTATAGCACCAATACAACAGGAACCTATGGCAATGTGTGATTTAGTTCATCGTAGGAAGTCAGGCAAGGTTATACGCATGGTAGGTTGTGAAAAAATGTGATTTGTTATGATTGGAATTGGTCTTGGGTTCATTACTGGTAATTCAATGATACAAGTAGGTCATACATAAGGAAGTACATATGTACTTCCAAAAAATAGTATTCACTCTACCCCTTTTTGCTTTGAATAGTTGGTCAAGATACGGCATATTGGAAAGATAAATGGGGGTCAGGTTGGTGTAGTGTTTCTTTCTGAGCCTCCCATCTCTGTGGGCCTGGGTGCAAATCCGGCTCAGTTCACATGTAGACAAGGTTTTCAGTCCCTACCGGAGTCCATAGGTTTTCCTTGGATCATTTATCCTGGGTTTTTCTCCCACCTCTAAACCTGAACACTTCTTTGATGTTTTCTTCACTCATTATCATCCTGTAATTGGCACTAAATGAGCTTTTGGATGATCAAATATAAATAAAAAAGTGTTGCAAATATTTTTTGGTTATCAAATCTCTGTTAATCAACCATTCATCATTGATTGTTTTGATCATTTTATATACTTGATAATATTTGTCACTTTTTATTCTGCAGAGAGAAGGTTTGAGTGTCGACCACGATTACAGATTATTTGTCTTTCCAGACAAAACCATGGCAAATATCCAGGTCGAGATTGAACCCCAGGTACGTAGATAACCGCTTCAGTTTTTTTCAATTGTTTATTTTTGATATGAGGAGAATGAGAGTTTAGTTTTCAGCTTATTTAGATTTTAATCTGGATTTGAGCTTTTCTGAACACCTGCTCGGTACTAAGTTATTGGAACCTTTTAGAGTTCAGCCTTTTGCTAGCTGTTGTCAGCTTTTGTCGTGTGTGCGCCACTCATACCTGTTATATGGCTTTTTTGTGTTAAATGTTCTTTGATGATTGAGTTGTGCTGCAGGCATAAGGGTATTTTGCTGTTAATCAAAAAGAACTTAAGCCTGTTGACAGCTGTGATTTTATGTTGTTCTATTGTAATAGCCGGATCCCACAGCTAATCTGACATTTAATCTGACTTTGAAAGACTCTGAAAGGAAAGCCAAAGATAGTGTGGTCTTACCGTACACAAAAGTCCAGCAAAGGTGAGATCATTTGTCTGATCTTGGAAGAAAAGTGAAGTTAATTGAGCAAATGCAATTATGGATGATTGCTTAAAAACGGATACATCCAGGAATACCTGAATAATTTTATTTTACCAAGCTTCTGTCTGTTCTTTATTTCAGACATGGACATCCAGTTAAAATAGGAAGCTCTGAGCAGTCAGGAAAGATATTCTATGAGCCGGATGAGGCTGATGATTTTGACGACGAAGATCCTGATGATGACTTGGATATTTGATGAGAAACTACTTGGGTAATACAGGCTTTTTACAATAGTGTGCCTCTAAGAGTTTGTAACACGTTGGCCAATCACAATATGCCAAATTAATCGACCTAATGCGTTTTTGGAAAGGGTTGATGGATTTCGTGTATTGTGATCGGCCAACATGTTGCAAGCTCTTGGAGGTGTGCTGTTGTGAATCGCCTATATTGTATGTGGAATGCTCGAGTTCAATTGTTAAATCAAGACATTGTAGAGACAGAGATGTTATCTTTGGACGTGAAGACTTGAGTGGGGATAAAAGTTTACTGAATTTTGTTAGCTGGAACTGAGATGACCGTTGGTGCCAATGTAGGTATCATTGTGAAATACAATGCGTAGCTGTAGGCCTCCACTTTCATATTTTGACCCTCAGTCAGTCAGCTAGTATTGTTAGACCCCAAATCATAGTTAAAATGGGAGGAAGGGGGATATTTAAAAAAAAAACAGGTTGAAATTACAATTTTCTGTTTCTGAAGTGCATGTATATAATATTTGAAAAACACAGTCCTCCACTTTTATTTTTCACAGGGAGAGTTGAAAACAAAGAAACTCTTAGTATGGAACAATTCTTAAATTAATAAGATATTTTTAAATGGAAATTCAAAGCTGCAGAAATTTGTACCACGCTGGAGAAAAAAAAAGAAAACTAGCTTTGCGTAATGCAGTCTGTCTTGCCAAACATGTTACAATTTATGGTTACTATGTTGTGCATCAAATCACATTTTTGCTTTATGAAAATAATTTTCCTTTTTCCAAAGTTTTTCGGAACTTCAGTCTCATTTACCAAAGGCATTGTTGTAAATAGTGTAAGTTGTTCTGTCATCGTGATAAATTGGAGTGAGATTCGGGCTTAAAAACTGACATTTTGGTAATTGAATTTGAGTACATTAAGTGTGACTTTTCATTAGTAAACAAACTAGCTGCAATCTTATTAGTTATGAAAGTGTAATGTCTGTGTATTTCTCATCCACCTGTGAAGTACTGTCTAGTTGTATTCTAATAGTCGTCAGATTTACTAGGTCTGCCTGTGTAATGAAGAACACCCATTTTTTAAGAGGGGGGTCCAACAGGTAAAATGGTGAATCATACTTACACATTGGAGGAGTGTCATTCCATTTGTAAAATATGCAAAACTTCATATCACTTATTTATTTTTCATATAAAGTTTGCAGCAAAACAAGGACGGAAACTTTCATTCATGTGAGTGTATTTTAGCTTGACAGAATTAGTGACAATGTCAAAATAAAAGGCACTGCAGTGTGAGGTGCATGTATTTTGGATATAGTCAGTGTGAATGTTTTGAATCAAAAGATTTTGCCAATAGCACAAGCATGACAAGTGGCCAGTGAAGTAATGGGCTGTTACTTGGAAGATACTGGTAGCTTACGATGTGGGAAAATTGAACAAGAATTCATCATTACTATAGTCATTAACTTGTAAAATATACTTCTTGCTTTGAGATTATGAGCACTCGTAAACATGAAATGAGCATGTCTCTATGAACATGCCTATTCAGCGAGTACGCTTTGAATGGGGCAAGGGTCAATTTTTTTTTACTGCGCAATCTAACCTTTAAATATAAGTTGCGAGTACAAATCTTACAAGAGGCCTGTGGCCTGGTGGTTCAGCTTGCTGGCTGCCAGGCCAAGGGGACCCCAGTCCAAAAGCTTGGGTCCCCAGAAAAGGAATTTTTTTTTTCAATTAAGTTTTTAGCAAAACTGCATGCAAACCTGGGTTTGAACCCTGGTCCTTGCGCACAGCAGTCAGTGTCCTTAACTGCTATGCTATGGCTCTTTCTTGAAAAAATGTGCTTGTTTCTAAATGTTAAACCTTCCGTTGTTTGAACTTAGAATATTTTCCAGCCCAATTCTTCATTTGAAATGGCAATAGGGTACCCTTGGTAATATTTTTGAAACTAGAGGGAGTAAGGCAGGAAGTATGAGTAAGACTGCAAAGCAATAAGTGACTCGTGGGTGGAGACGGTTGAGGCCTTGCAAATGTTGCCTGGAAGACTATAATGATCATCAGGGATTAAAGTTAAGGGCTTGAGCTGATGATGCCTCAACAGTTGAGCCAGTCTGAGGTTTGCTAGGGGAATGAATTCAAAGTGAAAACTTTGTGTGGGGAGACACTGGAAGACTCCACTTTAAAAGCACAAGTTATCTGATTCTTGTAGTTGATAGGGCATTGAGATACGGTACAAGGAGTACATGGTTGACAAGACTAACAGTAGGCCGAGCTTAGATGGTTTTATCCATTAATCTCCTACAAACTTCTGTAGAGCTTCTTCAGATGGGACTTAGTCAATAGTCAAAGTTGGTTGACAGGCCTTCTCTATTTGATGATTTTTGCCTGTAGTAAAAAGATTTTTCACTCAATGCTCCAAGAGATGGGAAAATAAAACAATGTACTATGTGTTCAAAATTTGTCGTATTGCATTTCAGCAGAGTTGCACTATGCCTTGAATGAAATAAATGTATGTATTACTCTTTACAGAATGAAATAAATATGGAAAAATGCCCTGTAAATGAGGTTGATACTACTTGCGTGTAGTTTTGATGGGAAATTTTACAAAGATTTCACCAAAATTTACCAGAATTTCAAAACTTCTTTCCCATTTCCTGAACAAATCTTTTGTGAAAACGTAGTTCTCGAAAACAGGTAATCTTACAAAATAGATTGTACAACTCTGAATCAGGGGACAGCCATCCATGGTTCCCGATTATCATCCTGACAGAACGTGAAATCCAAAATTGTCACTCCATTCAATCATGAAAAATACAGAACTTCAGCACTGGGTGTGTGAGATATACCACACCTTGCTCTTTGAACAAGCCAGATGTATTTGCTAATATGCTACTATTGAAGTTGTTTGAAAGGTGTAATTATAATAATAGTGGATATTTATGTAGTGCTCATATCCATCACAACTGTAGGTGTAGAAAAAAAGGAATAAAAAAAACCAGTTTGATCACATTTATTGATTGGATGGTACTTTAGAGAAGTTCCCTAGTACATACAAGATATGAGGAACACAGCAATATTCATATCTTCAATTTAAATTCAGCTTAAAATTTTAAACTGTAATTTTTATTTTACAAAATAGTATAACTAAAGGTTCAACAGGGATCTTTTCAGTGATTTGGTTAGGTGTTCTGTACACAGCTCATTGACAACTCCAAGTAATGCTTGCCCAACTTTGGATCAAAGGCAATTTATGCGGCCGAGAATTGGCCTTGTGAAGGTGAGAAATATTACTCATCTCTGTGTCTCAACAATTCCTTGATGATCTGTCGTGGCATTCCAAGAGGCTCGTTCATTCTCATAGACTTGAAGTACCAATTCCAAATTGCCTTTCCGCTTAGCATCAGTTGCAATGAATGCCTTTGTCAGAATAAAAGGAAAATGGAAGAATGTAATACAATATTATAAATAAATATACCAGGCAAGAGACCTATTTCATTTCCTCTCTTCAAAAATATTCAACCCTCCCTCTCCCCCACCAAAAAAGGTAAAAAGGTCTTTTTACTTTACTTCACGCCCCTTTTATCACTGATAAGCTCCCCTTCCTCATTAATCTTTCACCTTTATAATATCAATTCCTTCAAGTTCCTTGGTACGGACTTCAGCTGATGATTGGCACTCAGGATGCAAAAGATGGTACAATCGAACCAAGTCTACTCCATCTGAAATCCTGGAAGTAACATTACCAAGATAAAACATTAAGCCAATATGAAAGTGCTGGAACATAAACACATCCGAACCTGGTGAGAATAATGAGAAGGCTGCTGAGGCATTATGCTTGGGTGCAGGTGGTAGGGGCCTAATAAATACCCCTTCAATTAATGCACGTAGGGTGCCGTGATTTGCCAAAATGGATGCATGCCTCAAGTAAAAGAACACATACTTGAGTGTGGTGTCACCGGAGTGGTAACATCTCTTTGGAATAGTTTGTACAGATATCACATGATTTCAAGGCAGGTAGTAACTAATAGCTGAACAAGGAATAGGAAGTTTTGCCTTAGGAACTAGTTTGCTAATTTCCAATACCATAGGGACTTATGGACCTCATATCAACTATTACATAGCATATAAGCTGAATGATAGTTGAAGTAACACTCACAAGTTTCTCTGGACCATGTCACTCAACATGCCATCTATTCGTTGGTTTCTTGTGAGGTAAAAGACCAGACCACCAAAGTGCCTGGTTGATCTTAGAAGATCATACTTCTCCTTAGCATCTATATCCTCATAGGCTTGCTGATGGACCTGTTAAATAGAATAGAAACCCCTCAGGGTGAAAATATGATAAACACTACTGACTCCATTACTGAGGTTTTACGTGGTAGCCATCTTGCAGGGCAGTTCTTTTGATCCTTCCTACAAGGTGGCAGATATGCAAATCCTCCATTGACTAAGCAGGTGGCATTCTGTTCAGATTTGAAATCCTTATTTTAATTGAAAAAGATAGTAAAAGAATGTTACAATTCTTTACACCAATAAGTACATTCGGAATAATTTGCCAAATTCCTGTCCTTGTAATTAATTAAAAACAATACACTAAACAGAAGACTATAGACAGGAAACAGTGGGAGAAGATCCTTACCCTGATGAAATCAGCAGCATCTGGCTCAAACTGAACACATGCTGCATCTAACAAATCCTGATGGCGATCCTGACAAAACATGACCTGGATGTAATACAAAAAAGACCCCCAAGAAGTAATTTGTACAAAGTTTGACTTTGGAAGATTTGCTGGTTAGTTAACTTGAGTGTATATTTATGACTTTTGTTTAAACTCAAACCAAATTTCACATAACTAAGACTGACATGAAGTACGTACCGATAGATTCTCATCATCAAACAAAGGTGGTGGTACGAGATTGCGATAGGGTCGAGGAAAGTAAATCTGGGTAATTCTATCACGCTCTTCCCATGTTGCTTTGCGTAATGTACCACTTGGCTCTCGCACTACAATGAAGCGTTCCTAAAAGCAATCAAATGAAGTGAGCAATCTGCTTTCAGATTTTGTTATTCAGCATATGGAGGATTACACGTATATAAGACAGAGGCACATACATATGCAATAAAATACAAAAAATTCATGATACTTCACTACTAAAAGACTTCCACAGAGAGGCAAATATTTTTCTCAAATTTACATTCCACAAACCATGACTGACTCGCTGCGATTTACATTTTAGCAAGTGTCAATAGAGAATTTCAGGAAATTTCTGATTGATGGGGGCATTCCTTGCCTCAAAAATCCACAAGCTTGCATATTTTCAACCCAGACACACAAACACTGAGAAAAATTTAAGTTCCCCACACAGCCCAGCTAGCACATAGAACCCACAGTACACTACCAAAAAGGGCCTCTCTCTGGCATCCTCTTGGTAGCACACTTGCAAATTGAACATATATGTATGAAATGAAACCAACTACTTTAGCAAAACATTACATTAAACACACCCTGTCTTTAATGCCATAAGTGATATCTGTAAAGACAAACTTGGATGAGTCTAGTCCTTCCAGTTCTGGGTTCTCTGATAGAATATCTGTTATTTCCTCCCTCTCATCCAAGACAGGAGGCATTTGTAGTCGCTTCTTTGCTTCATTTTTAGCCTCTTCCTCCAACTGCAAAATGAGGGCAAAACAGGAATTAACCCTATCTGACGTGTATTCCAATATCAAAAGCAATGCAACATGATAGAATTATTGCTACTGATACTGATATTTAATGGCTGGACCAGTCCAGTAGCATACATTATGAATCAAAATCACTTTTTACTGATGTTTGTTTTTCTTTTTTTACTTTCATGACTGGTAATTGATAGTCTTGCATACTGGCAATATACAGCAGGGCAATGTACCACAGGATTACATGTATGTTTAAATTTCATGAGTTCAATGTCAATTTGTCTGTTTTAATTTTCAAAAGCCAATCGATGCTACATGTACCTCTTTCAGCTTAGTATCACCAATAAGTCTGTAAGTTGGAGGCTCTAGCTTCTGTTTAGAATGACGGAAAACCTTTGATAGATCCATCCCTGTGATGCGGGTCAAGATCCCCTGGACTTCATCAGTGCGGAATAGATCTGAAGCATCTGAATGATATACACAATAAAAATCAGGAACATTTTTTTTCACAATTTGAAGTAACCTAATTCATCAAGTGTAAACCATATCAAAAGACTAGCCATAGCATGACACCCTTCTCCTCTACATGAAAGGTGCACATGCATTGTATGCTAACATCGATTTATTATTAATATTATTATTTATTTCTGGTAATGACACCAAGGATTCCTCAAAAGTGCCCTAGGCATAGTAGCTCGCAAGTCTGAAGAAATCTGTAGAGAGGAGACAATGAGAAGCAGTTACAGTTTTAGAGGTGGGAGGAAAACCCCAGAGGAATATTCTGGGGGTAATTGCAGAATACCCTGCCACTCTAAAAAAAGGACCCCTGGACTAGAATGACTGGTTATGAGGGTACAAGGTGAAATTTCACTGAAAATCCCTTAAGAGTGTGATACTTTGACTAGTATCTAGATATGAGGTTGATCATGCGGGGTGGCGCGGTATTCTGCAATTGAGCCATACTCCATGGTAAAACCCACAGAATCAAATAGGGACTGAAAACCCAATCCACATCATGTGCACCGAGCTGGGAATCGAACCCAGACCGCAGAGGTGAAAGGTGATCACTCCTATCCCCACATACATCATGTGGGATGACATGTACAGTGATGATTTAACCCTAGAAACCCTGCATCATGTAGGCAGTTCTAGCACAGAGACCAACAGCAGCATGTGCCGTACATGATGTACATATCGCATGCATGTGCAAATGTACATGTAGTCCAGGTTGGACGACGTCTACATTGCATTGCGAATAATGTCCAGGGTATGGAAGTCCTCCTACTATGCGAAATTTTTTCAACATTTTTTTCTCACATTTTTACATGTGACATATGTAATAAACGGACTGAGCGATAAGATACTACATTTACCAATGGGCTCTTCTAAAACTTTGGCAGCAGTTTAGATGTCTTCACATGGAAGAGCCGTCAAGACGATGAGGGGTCAAATGACGTATTGTTCAACGACCTTATTTTAAAGTTGGCGACTGTGAGAGTGAGCCTGTTAGATTGAATGGATAAAGGCAAAAAGACTGGAAAATACAAGTACCTCAATAACGTGAGTGAAATCATTCAATAAATAGTTTTTAGAAAACGGAAAGGTCAAGAATCATGTTCGTGTGCAAAAGAAATTGCGCCCACGATGATAAGTGGGTGCGCCGAAAATGTTCAGTACGCCGACACGAAATTGCGCATACGGATGAGTGGCTAAGGATGGGTCGGGAGTGAGAGTCCGTGTCACACGAGTGGGGCTAGGCGAGTTCGAGTGCAAAAGTGGCCAATGCAACTGATGCAATGCGCCCAGAACGCGCCATGGCCAGCGTGATAGTTTAACCTAGACTAGACGACATTCAGTTCAAAAACTTACCTTTTTGGGATCCTTGAAGATTTGAATAACACGAAAATTGCTTATTCTTCACTGCACCAGCACGTTTCTGCAGGACTATTTGCCGAATTAATTGAGCACATTCTTCGGACAGTTTCCTTTGGCATCGCATGATGTAGGTTGCCATTTTGGAAAGTTAAGTTATTGTAGAGGGCGCTATTACAGCCAAAAGGCAAAAAGAGCACTCACAAGTCAATCTGTTGACTCCAGTGCAGTACTGGCAGTAGTAGTTCAGGGTGCAAACCACTAAATTCAAGTGAGAGTTTCTGGCAAGGTCATTAGCATTAAAAGTGCCCCCCCACATATCTTTTGAAAAAGGAGATTGTTTGGCCCCCCAAAATGGTGAGATTGTGTAAATCCTTGCCAGGATCAACTTCCTGGGTCTTTGGGCTTTCATA